TCTCTTTTTTTTTCTTTCAATCCACCACAACCTCCTTCACTCAACAACAGAGTTTTGAACAGTTGAGTTGTGAGAATGTGAGCAGCTGCTGTTATTATAACTAAAGGTCTGTCTACTGCTTGAGTCTGAGAGACCACATGTTCGGCTGTCCTCTCATCTTGCCATCCTCACCAATTAACTATTAACATGGAGGGCTGTACACATGCTCTTGGGGGCTCTTTAACAGGCTTCTTGGCGAGTGGAACAACTACACAGCAGGGATCTGGGAACTGAGTAATGCCGGAATATAGGGGAGCCGTCCGTAGTTCTGCTCCTTCTAATGACACTTTACTCCATAGTTCAGCATGTAACAAAGTCTGTATTTAACTTAGCCATTTTCACACACAGTTTTAGTTCAACGTCTTTGGGCAGACACTAAAACTATATTCTAGCAAGAGACAGTATGAGTAATAATATTACTTCACAGGGAAAATTGTTTAAGATTATACATATATATACACTTAAGACATTCATAATATATTTGTTGAACAATTTTAGTGTTTTCTTAACAGATATTTAGAATTTATTTTTATATACTTGTTCCAAAGTATGCTTGCCATTTTTTTTTCTGTGGCATTAAAGAAAATAATCTTTAACCTGAAGGAAATAAAAAATGTCAAGTTCAAAGTTGTGGGACTGAACATAAAACATTTCAAAGGCAAATTAAAAAATAATTATTGTTCATTCTACTTGCAAAAGTCTTATTATAACAATAAGTTAAAATCAGTTTTGAATCTATGTCATTATTTTCCCTATTTTAACTTTTCCCTCTCTTTGCAATTTCCTTAACTATGTGTTCCTTCCCTACAATGAAATTAAACATGGGAAGCATGCCAAAAGTATAATAAAGGGTAACTAATCATTACTATACAAGTCTGACAGAATGCTAATAACTAAAGTAAGAACACCGACTGGCTGGTTTAACAATTCAAGAAATAAGGATATTTTATACAAAATACCTTTAATCTAATGTTAATTTATATAATGCACTCAAAGGTACCACAATTTTATTATCTATACATGCCAACTATATGTATGATAAAATTTTCAAGGATATCCAACCACATTTCTATTTCTGCCCAAAACCACTCTACTATCACACCCAAGCTCAAGTATCAATAAACTCACATATACTACTTTTCTGTTCCATCCTATCTTTTACATTGTTGAAAAAGTTCCATGAGAATAGAAACCTTGTTTGTCTTGTTAGCTACTGTATCCCTATAGGTGCCTAGAACAGTGCCTGCATTGTTAAATAAGTGTATAAGTTAAATTACCCACAGTTATTCAATCACCATTTAAACCCTAACTTACAATCTCCAGAGGTGGCACTGGTCATAGTGGACAGGAAGCTGATGTATAATGTTTAAAGAGTCTTGTTTCAAGATAGTGATGCTACTAATATTTGGATGGCCAACTGACTTTATTTATGCCTCCTGGTTTGTCTCAGGCCTAACCTGTGAGAAGATCCTGTCAGTGTCTTCCATAAAAAGAGGCGGCAGGAGATTTCTATTGCTTTGATAGACTTTTATACCTTATTTTTTGTAGCCTTATCTCTGTTCAAATCCTCAATTTTGGAGATCTGTTTAAGTAATAATAGTGAAGATGACAACTGCTAACATATATTGAATGCCTACTATGTGCCAGCACTGTTTAAGTACATGTTATTACTAATCCTCTTAACTGGATACTTTTTGCTCCATTTTCACAGGTGAAGCTGAGGCTGAAAAAATTAAGACTTGACTAAGACTATGAAACTAGTTGGATCTATCTGCCTCTAAGATCTCAGGCTCTTTCTATCATTGAATGCTACTTTGTGCACAGTTTGTTTCTAAATTTCGACTCTAGTATCTCTGTGGAACAATTAGCATAGCACAGTGGTTAAGATTATGGTAATAGGAGGTAGACTACTTAAGTCTAAATTCTGCCACTCATTAGCTGTGTGATCTTGGGAAAAGATAATGACAGTACCAACCATATGGGGTTATTATGAGAATTAAATGAGTTAAGACTTGAAAAGCATTTTGGACTGCAACTGGCCCATAGTAATCACCATGTAACTTTTTATTAAATAAACTCACAGTGCCCTGGTTATATGTATTCGTACATCTTTGATTACCTTTCCAAGCATACTGCTTGCAATTCTTATTCTCTTTCCTTAGCCAAAGACTGATTTTCCTTGACAGACTTTAAAAGTTATTAAAAGTTTTACCTATTTATATAATGATGGGTTGGAAGAAGTGTATGTTTTATATTTTCTCCTAAACATTTTCATATAAAAACAAATAGATGGTCAGATATCATGTTCAAAGAGCAAGGGAAAATTTATTTGTTTTTTATAACTCAATTGGTATTAGGGCTAGAAGACTACTATATGATAACTTTGCAAAAACTGTCTAGGAATGAGAGATTGAAAATTGGGAAAATTTTAGAAGGCTGTGCAGTTTTTTTTTTAAAAAAAGACATTCTCTGTTTTGAGGAATATGTCTTAATTCTTTGTCACACTATATAACTTTATACTCATTACCAAAATCTGACCCTATATTTTGCTATGTCTATTTCAAAGGAGTCTCTTTACTGCTATGTTAAGAAGCATAAATTTAATCTATCTTCCAGTTATACAGGGGCTTAAATATATCTGTAAAGTATCAAAGTTAAAATATTGTTTCAGGTTCAAACATCGAGATCACTACATCATTCACTCATTATTTAGTCAGTGGTCTAGATAGGCTGACTTGAGGTCATCTGATAGTATCTGCTGTTCCCTTAAATGAGGGTACAGGATTCACTGTCACAGACATCCACAATGGGAATCTCTTCCTTAAGTGATAAAGATGATCACCAACAAAATGGCTTTAAAAAAGTGTTTTCCTTTTCCTTCTTTCCGTTTTCTCACAGAGGCCTCATTGGAATAAAATTTAAAGTTACATATATACACATATTTTTTTCATAATTGTTTTTCTTTGCTTTGCAATTAGGCAAAAGGAAGCATATTTATCTTTTTCTCTCTTGTCTAGAATGGAACTCTTTGTTTAATCTTTTATATGTACTAATTTATCAAATATTTTACACTAATAATTTTCTTTTAAAAATGTAGAATAATTACAATATTAGCCAATAACTTTTTTTTCCTAATAGAAACTTAGTGTCATCAAAGGTAGTTAATAATTCAGGACACATAAGATACAGTGTGACAGAGGGGAAGGAGTTTAAATTTCTGAGTTAACCAGATCTGAGCTTGAATACCAGCTTAAAATATACAACAGATATGGGATATTGGATAATCATTTAACTTTAGTTTAGTTGCCTTTGCAATTGAAATCACAGCTATCTTGCAGGGTTTTTGTGATGATTAGTGAAGCCATATAATCTAATGCTGAGGATGATAAGGTTTGAAGTCAGGTAAGGACACTGGCCTGCTGCTTATTAACTGGGTGACCCTATGGAAACAGAGGTAAAACAACCTGTTTCACAGGGTAGCACTGAAGATTCAAGGACCTAATGCTTGTAAAGTGCTTGGGATGTAGCACATGGCTAATAAATAGTTGTAGTAATAGCATAGTAGTAGTACTATAAGTAGTAGTATTTTCATCAGTATCTGATAAGTCTGTTTCATGTTTATTTATCATAAAAAGCTCACCATGTCTAACCAAACTATTATTTGAGTACTAACTTTATGATAACTTATTAACAACGGAAGCAATACAAGTATGTGTACAATGTCTAGCATGATTAGAGAAAGGAGTTTCCTTATGATATGTCTGCAATTTTAAGCTAATGATAATAATTTAGGTCCAGACACAATGTATAAAAAGTCCTTCAAGGAAAACTGAGTTATCCTCTGCTGACCATTATAAATAAATAAATTCTACTGGCCAAGTAGACCAAATTCACTGCTTTTAAAATTTAATTTAATTTTTTGTAGAAATGGGGACTTGCTGTTACACAGGCTGAACTTCTTGCCTCAAGTGATCCTTCTGCCTCAGCCTCCCAAAGTGCTGGGATTATAGGTGTGAGGCACTGCATCTAGCTAAATTCACTTTTCATTTGTCACACTTTTCAGTCATATTTGCTATATATGCTGTATATAATGAATGTAACTAAATGTCATTTTAATACATTTGCTATTTGCAGGTAGGGTCTAGGTATATTGGAACAGAGACACCAAGATTACGTAACTTTATAATAAAGATTCAAAATTCATTTAATTAACATTTACTGATTATCTAGAAAAAGCCTAGGTACTGTGTTAAGAATTTTAAAACCACGTTTAATATTATGTTATTACCATAAAGCCTATAAAGAAACGTATAAATATCTGGCCCTCCGTCTATGGAGACTACAATGTAGTAGATATATAAGATCATATGAAATCACATGCCTGAGGCAGACAGTATGTACTTAAGTAAACGATACTGATATTAACATATACTTTACATAAAATATTAATTAAAGAAAGAAACTAAAAGCTGTTTCAGAACATGAACTAAAACTGGAAAAAATTCAAATGGAAATACATTGATTCATTAGTAAAAGAAAAAACTATAAAATGTTTAGAAGAAAACATAAGAAAAAGACGTTGGAGAGGGCAAAGACTGTAAAGATTGGAGGTGTGAGGGAGGTAAACCACTAACCACTAAAAAATTTATAAATTGAACTTCATCAATATTGAAAACTTTAGCTCTTCAAAAGACATTGTTAAGAAAATAGAAAAAGCAAGTCATAGATAGGAGGAAAATTATTACCAAGTTGTAGCTAAAATATCAAGGAACTTTACAAATTGATAATGAGACTATCAATAAAAAATGGACAAAAGACAGACAAAAGAAGATATGCAAATGGCCAGAAAGCACATGAAAAGATGGTCAACATCATGAGTTATCATGGAAATGCAAATTAAAACCACGATGTCATACTATATCACCATGAGTTATGAAAAAATAGTTCTGGAAAGTTCTTACCTGGATCAGATGTGTTGGCATTGTGATGATGCAGGCTGAAAGAGAGGTTCTCAGAAGACCACGGAGAACATAGAGGAACTTGGTAAGGCTGTGACTGTTGCTACCATTTTCTGCACAGCAAATATCATCTCCCCATAAAGGTGAGCCAAGATTCTGAATTCCTATTCTTAAAACGTTTCTTTGTTTTTTCTAAAAGAAAGTGGGAAAAAAGCAAACATATAAAGTTTTGTTAATCAATAGAATACTACTTTTATCTGTCAGTTCTTATCTTTATTTATAACATCAGGGAGATAATGTCAATAGATGTGTTAAAAATTTTTATGTACTATTAGTACATTAAGCAATATAAATGAAACTGTTTTGATCACAAGATTATAAAAAATAACATTTTTTTAACTTTTGAAAAATCTGAACAGTATCATACACCTTAAGCTTTAAATTGTATCTAAATTTTAACAGCCACAACTCTAAGAATTATACTTAATGCACTTAAAATATTTAATAAAACAGATAATAATGAAATATTAACTAGAATGCTTGCAAACCCCTTGTCAGTATTAGAAAATTCTGTCTTTCAGTAAACTATAAATTGTACAATATTTCTCATTTAATTTTATCCTACCTACTGCCTGATCTTTTCTTTGAAAAAAACTTTAAAGATACATGACTTTTTGGTTTTATATTTTACATTTGCCTCTGGTTTTTCTTCTTGAAGCTGCTCTTAAAATAATAATTTAAGTTCAACACTTTTCATAAAATTTAACAGGTGAACATTTAGAACTTGAGCCTACCGACATTAAGGTCACAATAAGTGACTATATTTCTTGGGAAAAGAACATTTAAAAACTATTAATGAAACTGTGAATAAATCACTGTGAATAAACGTTTAACAACAGATGTGTTTATAATAAATTCTATTGTTTGGGTTATTCTAACTAAGTAAATGTTTTGTAAATACTTTCCTTAAAAATTCAGCAAAATTTCTGATCAAAGGAAGAACGCGTTAACAAAACCTGGCATGTGCAAATAATTGAAAATTCATTATTAGAATTGATGGGAAAAGGAAGATGGCTCTAACTTTTCATGGCTTTAACATAATTTGGAACGCGTGCTGCTTTATATGTGATTCCTGATGAAACAAATTCCTAAAATGTATCACTTGCTATTGCTATAAAATACCCTGATAAAATTTGTTAACCAACTAGTTATTGTCCAACACAATATATCTATTTCCCTGATATTACAAATGAAACTGAATTTGTGTATTCCTTTTTCAAGCAGAATTTATTGATCATGGAAAGTAAGAAAAATGAATAAAACATTGAAATGTTAGAAGACAAAAGTCTAAAGGAACATAAGCTAGTAAATGAATAAGAGAGAATTATAGTCAGGACTGTGTAACTAAGTAGATGGATGATTCCGGACAAGACACACACATTACTTAGGACTTCATTTTCTCTTTCTTTCTTTTCTTTTTTTTTTTTTGAGATAGTGTCTTTCTCTGTTACCCAGAGTGCAGTGGCCTTACTATAGCTCAGGGTAGTCTCGAACTCCTGGGCTCAAGTGATCTTCCCACTACCGCCTCCAGAGTAGCTGGGACTAGGGGCATGTGCCACCAGATCTAGCTAATTTTTCTTTTATTTTTTTTTGCAGAGACAGGGTCTTGCTATGTTGCCTAGGCTGACCTTGAACTCCTGGACTAAGCAATCCTCCTGCCTCCGCCTCCCAAAGTATTTGGCTTACAGGTGTTAGACACTGCATCCAGCCAGTTTTTTTCATTTTAAAATTAAAAGGAGAGGCCAGGCGCTGTGGTTCACACCTGTAATCCCAGCACATTGGGAGGCTGAGGAGGGCAGATCACCTAACGTCAAGAATTTGAGACCAGTCTGGCCAACATAGTGAAACCCTGTCTCTACTAAAAATACAAACATTAGTCAGGTGTGGTGGTGTGCACCTCTATTCCCAGCTATTTGGGAGGCTGAAGGCAGGAGAATTGCTGGAACCTGGGAGGCGGAGGTTGCAGGGAGCTGAGATTGCATCACTGTACTCCAGCCTGGGTGACGGAGTGAGATTCCATTAAAAAAAAATTAAAAGGAGAGAAGATAACATTGTTGCTCTATGATTCAATACAACTGAAGGGATATAATGGCCTGGATAAGACTATAAGAATGAAATTACAAAAAAAAGGATTTTAGAATAAGCGTATTAGAAAAAAACTTCCTGACTCTAAGGACCTAAAATATGATCGCACTATGTAGGCAGTTGGTTCAATATTTTAAATGATTGTGTTAGACTTATGATAGACAACCACCTAAGACACCCTATGTTATCATCCTCAATGGTCCACAAAAATTGTTTTCTTTTTATTTCTGCATTAGTTGAATGAAATGAAGTAATGAGATGTACCAGGGCTTAGGTTAGAAGTATAAATACATTTCTGGTGAATTAGTGTAAGATATCTGTAAAATATGATGGGTTATTCTTTTTTCTTTATTATTTAAAACCTCAGAATTTAAGTAAAATGGCAAGAATGTAAAGTTCATTTTGCTATCTCTAAATTTGTTATCTCATGATAATAAACAAGTTAAGATTCCCAACAGAAAGAGCATTCTAGAAAAAGGGAGAGAAACATACAAAAAAAAAAAAAAATCTAGATATTAGAATGAAACATGAAGGTAAAACGAGAGCAGGATAATATCGTTTTCTCTGTCAACATTTCAGAAACTAAAGATCAACAGTATTTTAACCCACTGTCTCATTACCTATTATTGTATTAAAAAGTACCAGATAAAAGTTTATAACAAAAATGCTGTTAGGCATGAAATTAGGAAAACTACAGAGGTTTAATGATTCTGACAGATACACTGATGTATGTATATCAAGTGAATGAAAATATTAAGCCAAAAAATGAATGAGGGATAAGATATTTAAGTGAGGTTGGTACCCAGCACAACAGAATATAATTGAGCATAATACTTCATTTATATTTTAAAAAATATAATGGTAATTGCAAAAACAAAGGCTGAATTATAAATCTCTTGTGTCCTTTAGGATATGCAATTCCTTTGCTATGCCATATAATAATGGGGCATACTGTGTGGCATAAGATTTAACCTTGAACCTTGTCAGCTGTACAATAAATAGTTTTATTCCTATGAGAACATCCAAAATATTTAATCTGGTATTCTAAGTAAAATCCATGTCAAATTTCATTTTTATCATATATTTCTAAGATATTTAAAAATAACAACTTAAATGAAATTATGAGCACAATTTGTAAATGTCTGCACTCTAATTATTTTTATAGATTAGCTACACTACTTTACTTACTACCAAGGCTAATTATAAGGTAGTATACAATATTCTGTATTTCTATATGTTGTCTCAAATTAGTTGTTTATTTGAAAACATAATGTTTGAAAAAGATAAAACTTTTCTTTTAAAACATAAGATTTATTTCAATGTCAGAACATTATTCTTGACTTAGGAATAATATTCTTTGAAGTAGTGCCTTGTAGGTGTATTTCTGTGGCTTCTAGAACTCATCTAAAGTTTCTGAGACAGATAGCAAACACTACAATTAATTTAAAGAAGAAAATTCATTATATTTTAGTTGCAATAAAATTGTAAGTATAATTCTATAATAATGTATTGGTATTGGTATATTTTAATTTAAAAACAGTTTTGGTATTCACCATATGAATGTCTACCTGAATGCTGTTTAATCTTCATAAAAGTCAGTAATTCTAGAATTTCTGGTTCAGAAAGCCAAACCAGCTCCAGTTTGTTGTCTATCAATTTTTGTGGGGAAAAAAAAAATTGTTTCTTGAAAATAGTGGTGTTTTCACAGTCGAATAAACAACTAAGAGAACAAATGTTTTATTCTATTCCTATACTAGCTTACTTAGTAAGGATTTTTAAGATGTATCTCTGTGTGTGTGTGTGTGTATTCCTTTTGCTATTACCTTTGCTTTTGGGATTCTATAAAATTTCTTACTCTCAGAAGATATGTCATCATCCTGCAAGAGCAGCAGCTCTGCACACTGTACCATAGGAACTGTTATGACATGCCTGTTTCCATAGTTACCACAGCAAGTCGGGAGAGGTGTCTGTCAGGGACCAATTTACCTCTCCAGACAAGCACTGGCACCAAAGAAAAGACACAGTACCCACCAATATTAGGTAGGGCCAAAAATGGAGCAACACTGAGCAAAATAAAATTGTATTAAATACTAAAGGCTGTCACAAAAATTATGACATACATGAAAAGCCACCTATAAATAAATGTCTGTACTTTATCATACACACATAAGTATTTTCAACCTGCAATTAAACTGACAATCAAAGCAAATTGAAAAATAATTTATTTTGCATAGAAAAACTGTTAAATATAATAATAAAGTTTACAAGAATATTTAAAAATCCATGAATTAAGCACAAATGTAGCTGATGATGTCAAAAATAAGACTTTCAGTTTCTCTGTCTTCAATAAAATAATGGTGCTTTAGAAAGACTTCTGCTAAAATAATACAAATGTAATGCAAATCATTTAGTAGCAAAAGCAATTAAAATCACTGTGGAATAATTCTGAAAGGCACGATATGTAGAAATAAAATCTTTCACATTTTGTTTAAGTTAAACTAACCAGAACATCTTTATTAGTGGAAATTTGGAGGAAGTTTTAAAAATTAGAGCTACAGAGAAATTGTCGTTATAAGATACTTAATATGGCAAATAACGTATTTTTTAATTCAATAAAACAAAGCATAATGTAATAAAATCTTAAGACAATTCTTACTCATAAGGTAATTTGAAATTAAGGTCAAATGACAGAAACAGGAACAATTTAAATAGAAAAGTACAAACCTTGCAGATTTAAAAGTAATTTTCAAAATGCAGCTACTTAATCCTAAATGCTACAAATGCATATTTAAAAATGATGTTGATAAAGCATGTGTATGTCTTATGTGCCTCCACTGAGAACTTAGCTGAAACTCTAAATACACAGTAATAGTCAAACTAAAGCTGCTTGTGCTCTGCTTATTTACATGTACTGTGCTTGAAAACAGCTTGTTCACTGTATATTATTCTAAAACTTCTGGGTTGCCACCCCTAAAGAATTTGAAAACAGCATTATATAAATAATTATAAAAGACTTTGAAGCTATTTTAATACCTGAGGATTGGATCCATCAAATCCTTCCTCGGAAATAATGTTCTGGATAAACTGAAGCAGCTTTATGTAGCCAGGGGTCAAAGAACTGTTGGTAAAAGAAGTGGTTCAAATACATAAATGGGTTATTAGACAGAAGTACAAAATCTATGCTAAAACATTAAGTAAATAATTAAAAGGCATACATTTATTAGATTACTTAAGAATGTCAAAATAGTATTATATAATCCTAAAATATAAAGTCAGTACATACAAGGAATAAGTTACAATGCTTTATAATAACTTGCTCAATGTTCCTGACATCATGGGGAGATAAAAACCTGTGGAGACTAAGATGACTTAATTATGTCAGGCTTAGTTACCTCCAAGAAAATTAATGATTTAATGAAGCAACCTAAAAGATGAAGCCACTATAGATTTTCAGGAGTAATCATACATAATTAACATAGTTAATGAACTGCTATGCCAAGTACACCTGAATCAATGTCCTGATCACCTGAGCTTCCATCTTCCATCAAAGTTAATTTTCTTAGAACTTCTAAAATAATAGTAATTTTAAAAGTTGATTTTTTTCAGACACATGAAGAAAAGTGAGTATAATCTTCACTTCCTTTGTTAAAAGAAGGCAATAAATGGATGAATTTAAGAAGAAAACCAAATTTATTTCCCATATAAATACTAGCATTAATGTTATTGTTTTAAAATATTTTACAAATGCTACGAAATATCTCAAAGAATCTTTAGTAAGCATGAGGAAAATCTGCTTTACATTATCTGAAGTTAAGATTCTGCATAATGGACAATCTGTGTGCTATGACTGAACATTAATGTCATGATAATGTCATGAGCATAGCAATTCCATAGACATTGAAGTGCCTAATGTTGTAAAAGCTGTGGGTGACCTTAAAATTACACAAGTATTTGCTTTACTGTGATCCTAAGTAAACAATCACATAGGCAGAAGAAATATCCTAAAGAAAGAATGAAATCTAATTTGAAGCATGAATGCAGCAGTAAAGAATATAAAATGTTAGGAAATATAGCAGACTCCTTAGTGTGCAAAATCAATGGTAGGTGGTTCAGGAAAAATATCTGTACATCTCTGTAAACATGTAATTGAACAGCCACAATAAACCCAAAAGTGTCTATCTTGCAAAAACAAAACAAACAAAAAAAATGCTGTTGTGTACAAAACAAATACAGCTCCAGATAATGAAGAATTTGGTAGTTTGGCTATTTCTCATACAGTTATTTCTCCATTTTCAGTGAAAATGTTGTAGATTACATAGATATATTTTTTTTCACGAGTGTGGAAATATGTGTAAAAATAATATTCTGTAAGGGCAATTTTATGACTATTTCATATCTTAACACACATTTGTCCCAGCTAGATCAACCTTTCAGAACACAGTGCTGCTGTCTGAATGCAGTAGATTCAATTCTAATCTGGATCAATTTGCTTTGCACAAGGGGTAAAATCTGCAAGCTTTCAGATTATGAAATGAATTCCAGCCAACCATCTGATGAATGTCACTATGGGTTATAGGAGAGTGGATCAAAAATATAGCCAATGCATTTTAATCCACTAATAATAATTCTACCCCAAACCATTATTATTTCATATAGTAATAATAGGGGATCATGCAATATTCATCTTTCTGTGTTGGGCTTATTTCATTTACCACAATGTCCTTCTTATTTCATTTACCATAATGTCCTTCTGTTTCATCCATGTTGTCACAAATGACAAGATTTCTGTTTGAAGGCTAAAAGTCCATTGTGTGTGTGTAGACCACATTTTCTTTATTCATTTATCCCTTGATGAACACTTATGTTGATTCCATATGTTGATTATTGTGAATAATGGTACAGTAAACATGGGAGTATAAATATGTCTTCAACATACCGATTTTATTTCCTTTACATATACAGTCATGCGCTGCATAGGGACGTTTTGGTCAATGATGGACCACGTATACAATGATTGTCCCATAAGATTAGAATAGAATTGAAAAATTCCCATCATCTAGTGATGTTGTAGCCATATTACTCACATGTTTATGGTGATGCTGGTATAAACAAACTTGTCCTAAAAAGTACAGCACATATAATTATGTATGGTACATAATAACAACAAATGACAATTTTACTGGCTTATGTATTTACTATACTATACTTTTTATTGTTAGAGTATACTCCTTTTATTTATTGAAAAAAAAAAAGCTAACTATAAGACTCAGGCAGGACCTTCAGGAGGTATTCCAGAAGAAGGCATTGTTATCACAAGAGATGACAGCTGTGTGTGTGTTACTGTCCCTGAAGACCTTCCAGTGGGAAAAGATGTGGAGGTAGAAGATAGTGATATTGATAATCATGACCCCACACAGGCCTAGAGTAATGTGCATGCTTGTGTCTCAGTTTTTAACAAAAAAATTTTACAAGTAAAAAAATTAAAAATAGCAAATAGAATAAGAATATAAAGAAACAATATTTTAGAATTGTGCAAAGCGTGTTTTAAGCTGTTATTACAAGAGTCAAAAACTCATTTAAAATGCAAAAGTTTATCAATTAAAAATGTTACAGAAGCTAAGGTGAATTCTTATTGAAGAAAGGAAAATATTTTTAATAAATTTAGTGCAGCCTAAGTGTACAGTGTTATAAAGTCTACAGTAGTATGCTTTAGTATATTAGGCCTTCACGTTCACTTACCACTCCTTAACTGACTCACCCAGAGCAACTTCCAGTCCTGTAAGCTCCATTCTTGGTAAATGCCTTATACAGGTGTACCCCTTTTTATCTTTTAGACTATTATTTACTGAACCTTTTCTAAGTTTAGAAACACAAATAACTGTATTAAAATAGCCTATTCAGTCCAGTAACATGCTGCACAAGTTTGTAGGCTAGGCCCAAGAGAGTACTATAGAGCCTAGGTATGTAGACTGTACCATGTAGGTTTGTGTAATTACTCTCTATGATGTTTGCACAATGATGAAATTGCCCAATAATGTATTTCTCAGAATATATTTCCATTCATAAGTGTCAAATGACTGAATGCTCAGAACTGGGGTTGTTGGATATGCTGGTTCTCTTTTTGATTTTTTAAGGAACCTCTATACTATTTTCTACAATGGCTGTTCTAATTTATATTTCCACCAACAGTATACAAGGGTTCCTTTTTCTCCAAATCATCTCCAACACTTCTGTCTTTTTGATAACAGTCATTCTAACAGGTGTGAGGTGAAACTTCATTGTGTTTTTAATGTACATTTCCCTGATGATGAATAATGTTGAGCACTTTTTCATATACGTATTGGTCATCTGTATGGTTTCTTTTGAGAAATGTCTATTTTGGTCCTTATCCAATTTTTAAATTGAGTTATTTGTTTTCATGCTATTGTGTTGTTTGAGCTCCTTAATATTTTGAACATGAACCCTTTTACTAGACATATGATTTGCAAATATTTTCCCCCATTCCATAGGTTATTTTTTTACTCTGTTGATTCTTACCATGTTGCACAGAATAGGGCGTTCTTTGATATGAGAATAAAAAGGAAGATGCGAAGCCAATACTTCTTAATTTCTTATTTAACCCTGACAGTTCAATCATCAACAATGCTTAAAATTTTATAAGTAATAAAATAAATTCCTCTAATTAGATTTCTAGAAAAATAAACTATTTGATAACAAATAAAATGGAATAAATCAATAGATTTAGGTATATCAATTGTGAATATTAATTTTTGAATTTATGGGATTAAATCATTTAAAACTGAAATTATTTACATGATATTGATACTAAAATACTAAGTACTGTTAATCTCCATGTTTCTTTGCCAGCAATGTTTATAGTAATATATATGTACACACGCACACACATATCTTTTTGCTGAAAATCAGTATCTTGTATTGTCATCTAAAATTTTGGTTTGTTATTAAAATCCTTTGCTTTTGAGGATGTTTACTCTTGTGTGTGTGTTTAGTAGTGTAGGCACTGATAAAACAGGAGTTGGCAAGAAGTAAACCCAGTTAAAAAGATCCTGGCTTCTTTACTAATGTTTCCAAACATTCAACAAAGATTACGTTATCAAAGTATTTAAAACATGCTTCAAAAGTGGCACATTTCTAATCATTTTGTGATCACATTATATGAATTTATATACTATTTTGCCTGATTTTCTTGTATTTTCAAAAACTTTTATATTACAATGATGTATTTTGAGATTCTACAATGTGCCTTTAAAACTATTAGCTATACAAAGAACATAAAAACAATTACTAGAACTTTACTTTTTACCTTTAAAATATCAAACATTTAATATTTTCTTTAGTTAAAAAAGTAAAATTGTTCCATGTGCATTATTCATGCTTTTCTGCTAATATTACCATGCAGTTTAGCAAGAATTTATTTCTTTATACTAATATATAAACATGGATAAAAGGGGCCAAATGACACAAATGTAAACCTGTTTTCTGATAACAAAGTTTAATATTTTTTAGAGATGATAGAAAAAAATGAAACTCATGCTTATCAATATTCTATCCCCCATCTCTAATTTTCCTCAAGAAGTCTAAAGCACATTTGCATCACATAATTTTAATTCCTATCAACAAATTGCATTGGTTTTGCTGTGAAAAGTAATGTTGTCATTCACTCTCATTAAGAAAGATAAAAACATTAGCTGTAAGAAAAAGAATCAGATGTAGTATTCTACAAAAGAAATCAAGCACAGGTCGATGATAAATAACAGATAAAAACTACAGTTTTGGAAACAAACAAAGGAATGCTTAGCAAAAGTCTTCAAAGAAACACTTAAAAATCTTTTAATAATTAAGAAAAAAAAAAGTCACTTCAACTGAGGGGTTTAATAAAAAAATATTTAAATATGAGTAAATAACAATATACAACACTGCCACCACCAACAAAAAACCTTGGGTAACAGGAGACAAGATTTTATCAGTGAAAAGGTAAGTTACAAAAATAAGATCATGTACATGTGATATTAAAATAACTTGTTGATAAGTGAAAAATCTATACATAGATAACAGGCTCTTAGGTTGATTTTCAATAGGACTACCTGATTTTAACTA